ACCCAAGATTAGATCGATGATTACTTCAACTGCACGTCACTCACGTCACAGTGAGATATTTGGCCTGAAAACCTGGGGTTAAGACTTTTTTTCTTAGACTCACTCTTATATTGTATGGAGTAGATAGATCTACAGATCGAACTACTGAGTTACAGTGGAATCAGATTTTTTGGACGACAACGTGTCTGAGTACAGGACTTCAAACATGTTCTGACGGGATCGTTGCCACCTTCTCAGCAAGTATGTTGGCGTTTCTTATAATTAAAACTCGCAACATACTGCAATAGAGTATCCAGTTATTTATTTCTATTTTGGCTGATCCTCATCCAAGGTATTTCCTACAGTTTATGAACATTTTTTTAAATATCAGCCAGTCACAAAAGTACCTAAGTTATCTTTAAAATCAAGGTATATGTACACTTGTTTTTCCCTTATTTATTTGTAAAAAAAGATCTTTTTTTATATTTTCCCGCGTTTCTCCGTACTAATTTATATTTTACACGCAATAGAATAATAAAGTTATGGTGTCGAAAAACAGTAGCCACCGAAAAGTGACAAAAGTCTTTTCATGATTTTTTTACTGAATATTGGTGGTGAATAAGCAAAATTTTAATTTCCTAGAAGATTTGTTGTTTATAAAAAATATTTCTCTGACACAAAAAAAAAAATAAAAGAAATGATTGGAGATCGACTTTTGGTATTGCTGTTTCTAGATTCCCCAGCATGATCTCAACAAAACGATCAGGTTGAACTTCCATGAAAAAAATCCTCTAATATATAGAAACAAAAAAGTTAAAATGAACATTACAGGATGTGCAGGAAGGCATAATCTCCAGAGATTTTCTAGAAAGAGACTGGTGAAACGGAAAGAAGTCGCTGGGCTTTTTAGGTAGGATAAACGACTACAGTATTTTCAAAAATTGTTAGTAAAAAAAATTAAAAATCAATCATTCAATTAAAAATAAAATTTAACTGCGTAAATCTAGATCCTAATAGGGTTTTGTGATGGCAACACTTTTCAGTGAATCACTACAAAAATATATAAAAGTTTTATTTTTTCCTGTTTTAATTAGTCGTTAAGTAAATTGATTTTTTTTTGTTGTGTGACTTAGTTGATCTTTAATCTATAATAAAAAATCTGGTGCGGTGTGCTCATTACACAACTTTCACTTATCACTCTTCTTAGCAGAAAAAGTTATTTTCGGACAAAGGGGAAGTGAAAGTGAAAACTATAGATGTTATATTTATTTATATTTCATTGTGGGTATTTTGATTTGTATAATTACCCTTATATATGCAAATGTTAATATTTATTTCGCTGAAACCTATACAATCAAATATTAAATAATACCAACAATAGCATTTATGAAAACCACATATGTATATTTATATATATTATTGGAGTCCGTATTATATTAATCTCATGATACGTATGGAAGCTTCTTCTAATCTTTCGGGCGAGCTCGAGTGCGCTCTTATTCCTTTGATTCCTCAATTACAACAATCCTCCATTACGATCTCTTATTTCTCCTTTAGTTAATTGTCAAAGTCTTTTATATTTTATATTTAACTATCTTTTATATTAGAGATTAATGTGAAATGGTTCTTTTTTTCAAATAAAAATAATTAAAGGTACTTTAGAGGAAGCTAATATTGAAAATTATCCATTTAAGCTCTGTTAGAGAACATCAATCAGAATAAAAACCACATTTTATTAACAACTGCTCAATTATACACTGACATGATGAATTTAATCAAAATCGTTAATGCCGTTTTCGAGAAAATTGCAAAAATATGTTTAGTCCATTATATAAAGTGCCACTTCCGGTTAGCTAATTTTGACGAAAAAGTTGCTGTAACATCCCTAGCATAGAAAAATCAAATATGCAATTTCACTTTCGTACGACTTTTCTTTTTTGAGCTAAAGTGTTAACACTCACCATTTTGCGACACTTGGTTATTTGGACTCAGGGGGCCTCAAACAGTATATTTCCGTTGAAAACTGAGATTCGAAAATTTTCAAGATCGCAATACTTACACTTCCTACTATGTATTACATAAATAGATAAGTGAAAGTAAAAAATTAATAGTCTGTTGATATTCAGACAATGTTGACTAGCCTGATAACAGTTCCCGACGAGGCTTAGGAGGATACAAAGCGATAACGGATAAGCCTGGCCAGAAGGACTACTCAGATATCAATCTGATATAGGAACAGTAACCGAATACCCCGGGCCTGCGTGAGCGTAACCTCCATCTATCACCAGGTGACACCTTCCCCTCTCCGTCATTAATAACCGTCCCTGTTTGACTTCGCCTCATTAGCCTTACCACATTAGCTCTACCAGCCAATGCCATTTTGAGCTCGAGCGCATTTTCCATGTAACAGATTCATCACATTGTGTATTTAAGGGCACGCACGCGCCTCCGAACCAAAAATTTCATCAGATCTACTAATCACTATCGATTCTTCAACATCGCAACTAAAAAGAAAGATAAGAGCAAGAATGACAATAATTCGAAAAGGTGTCTACATCTTACCTCGTATGTACTTCAACCGATTCCATGACGAATTACACAGACAGAAAAAAAAAATACTCTTCCTCAATCCTTTCATGGCAGTATTGAGCTCAAAGAAATACCATGCATTCTAATGATTCTGAGCTAGATATCGACATATTTATTGAGTATAATAATTAATACAATTTTAAAAATAAACTGGATGTGGTCAGCCTGTTAAAATGAAAATAAAGACCCTTAACAAATAACCTCCAACTATTTGACCCAACCACATTTTTCCAATTCTTCAACAATGAATACATATACATTCTGACTAAAGTCCATATAGACATAATCAATACAGTAAACATCGCAGAAAAGATCCATCAACTTATTACAATTTATAACAAGAGCAACTTGGCATGCAAACTTTATGTACTGTCCTCCACCCACAGGCGGATCTAGGAGGGGAAAGACTTTTGGGCTGAAGCCTCTCCCCCACAAAATGGTAAAATATAACCATGTTTTACAGAAAAAAATATTAAAAACTATCTCTTAAAGTATTCTTGTTCGTGTAATTACATTTAATAGGACTTCAAGAACCACTTAAACACCATTTCATATAGGTAGTTAATTTCTTTCTTTTTTTTTGCTAATTAATTATCGTTATATGTATATGAAAAAAAAATCTTTCGGGCTGAAGCTCCTCTAAAATTAAATCCTGCCTCCACTTGCCAACATTTGGCCAACACATAGTGATCCTTTACCAACGATTTAAACGGGCATACCAACAAGAGACACGGCTACAGCTGGTATAATTCTGAATAAGAGGTAGGAAAAAGAAATATTTAATTGAGATTGTAAAAATGTGTAGCAGAATGATGCCTTCATTCAGTTAGACATTACCTCCTCATCCTGAGCAGTGAGCATCTGAAGTGTCCCGAGAGTAAAATAGGATGCCATGCAGAGAATACTGTGGTATTATCAACTGATGTACATATAAAAAATTAAAAGGCATCGGGTGAATGTAACTGAATCAAGCCAGGACGAGTTGCTATTGAGTACTGTCCTTCCCCCGGCCTGAAATCTCATCCTTTGTGTTCAGTTTATTTGCAGATTGCCAAAATACTACAGTTGACAGGTAAAAAAAGTATTAACCTAATCAATTAAAAACAAAATTTGACTGGTTAGATCTAAAGTGACCGTAAGAGACTTTAGCGGCGGTAGTTTTTTCGGTGAATCAATACCAAAATCATTACTGTGTCCTCGCATATAATTAGAACGGTAATTGCATCACTTACATGATCATATCAGTACCGGCCAATCCAGTTTTGCACACGAGAATGGTAGCTTTAGAAAATAAAGATACAATTATTATGAGGTAGGAAAAAGAAATATTTAATTGAGATTGCATAAATTAGCAGCAGAATGACGCCTTCATTCAGTTAGACATTACGTCCTCATCCTGAGCAATGAACCACTATGGTGTACATATAAAAATTATGCTCCAGCGCTCTGCTTTGGTGTTCCAACGACAAGTTTAACGTAAAAAAAAGTTAATTTAAATAAAATTGTAATTATTATTATTAAATAACATGAAAGGCCAATTTGGACTTACGGAGTTGAGCTATGGGGCTCCACTAAACCATCGAATTCCTCTCGTATCCAATCCTTACAATCCAAAATCCTTCGTAAAATTCTCAATGCTCCCTACTTTGTTACAAATAAAACCATAATAAACTTCAGAATCATCCCAACCCTCTCGTTTCTAACCTTGCTTCCTCTTCGATTCCTGATAACCCTCCGAGGCGTCTGAAAAGAAGATGGCTCCGTGATCTCCTAATGTAAACATATCATTAGAGTGCTACCATTGGGTAGTTACTCAGCAAGTGTTTTGCATGTCATTATATACATTATGTTCTAATTTACTAGATGTATTTATTTAATACAGTTGTAAATGTCTTTAAGAAATAAAAAATAAATAAATAAATAAATAACATGACATATTTTTTAAAACCATTTTCCATGGCTTATCATTAAAACTCTTCTTTTAAAATGATAACAAAAAGAAGGGTTAGTCACTGAAAATTCAAACTTATGTAATTCTGTATTATTAAAGACGTATATGTTCGTAATAATATAAATAAATAAAAATATTAATTTTTATGTTTGGCCTTAATTAATTAATATATTTTTATTGATATAAATATAAAAACTAGTAAAAACCCTATCTTAACCTTATGTGACTCATGAATCGTTGCAACTCATTGTTCAACAAATAAATATTTTCGACCCTCATTTCAACAGAACTGAAACTGGTACCTCTTTGGAGCGCTGCATGATTCCGAAACCCCTCAAGATTGCTCTATATTCCTCGAAATATGATATTGCAGGCGATGTCAAACTCCTCCAGCAAATTAATTTCTCGGCAGGCGAGCTTAGCCAAGGTTGTTGGAAGCATGACATTTACATATTGGAAGGAGTGGGCGGTTCGCGGACCTTTACCAATTTGGGTTATTGAACATTCCGCTGATTGTGGTAGCCTCGTCCGAAAGCGATGAAGCAGCGAAATGATAAAGGGCTTCGGCGGCCTCCGGCTGTTCTCTGCTGTCTGACGTCTGACCTTTGTCTGCAATAGTTGGCAGCGAGCTAGCACCTTCCTGCTTCTTACTACGACAATCATTCCGAAAAGATATTGTTCATTATGATGAAAATAATATTGGCGTAATGTCCTATGACTACCTAAATATCTTTTATACAACAACCATATACGGCTGGAACGTACAACTGACGTACAAATAATAGCGTAAAACATAATAATAAAACGGTCATCATTTTCATTAACAAACATGGATGACGATATTTTTATATCATTCGGGAGTTGCTATACTTATTACCATATTTTAGCATAAATCGATAATGTACCTTACTTATTTTTGTTGCAATTTCTGATCTATTAGAAGATTATATTTGTATGTTACACATTACAGCAATAGCGAATAAATAAGCAGATGTCTATTTGTTTGAGATGGCCATTTGTTTTTAATTTTAGCAATTTCTACCGCTAAATCGACCGCAATTACTTCGGAGTTTACCTTCATTTTTTCTAACGTAAACTGGTGTGTAGGTGTCGTTCGTAACACTGTACCCTCAATAATATGGAAATATTGACTCTCCGTATCGAGAGATTCACATCTGAAAACGAACCGTACATCAAGTCTAGCTAGTAATACCATTAGTTTCATAAATAACTGATTTCATTACAATATCAACTATATCCTCCGGTTGTATCTCGGAGTAAGTGGAAGAAATTTTATTATAATGGTTGAAACTAATTTCCTAACTATTCAAAATAATGGATGAAAGTCCGTAATAAATCAAACATTGATAAACTAGTACAGCCCAGTGAAAATCCTCACATAAAATACGTGTCCTTTTTGCTAATACATTCGAGTACAGTAAGTGAGTGGTATTAGCAAGACATATTAATTTGTATACACAATGATGTTCAAGATAATTTAGATGATCATTCAGATTATCTATTCAACAAACTTAGTTAATTAAGTTCCATATTTTATAAAGGAACTATTTGCTTAGTAAGTGATTAGCTGATCCCACTGGAAAATATCGCTCCAGTTTAATAGTTAATGCATAAAACACAGTTAGTCCTGATCTTATACTAATCCATTATTGTTCTTGTTCAAGACATATTCTTTTGGTGCAGAAAAGCCTAATTATGTACTTTATTCACTTACTAAGAGTATAAAAATATATTACGGATAGAAATCATAACTTTTAAATTTATCAAAAATGTCTAAATTATCCGTTGTTCCGAAGGAATCATAGATTCTTTTCCATTTACTTTTTTGATAGATTTTTAGTTCCTGAAAGCCGGTTATAAAAAACATTATTTTTATTTTTGAGACATGAATCAACTCGTATCACCTAGAGATATATTGTACACCACATCTCTAGAGACATATTGTATTTGAAAAAAATATATGTAATTGGGATATTTCACTTATTCGTGAAATTCCGTTTCTTATTCTTCATTCATCAAAATCCATCGCTTACAAAAAAACAATACAGAATTTATTTACTGATTTATTAGTTTTGCAAAGATACTCCGCATCATAATGGATTATCCTTGACTACACTTTTGTTATACTTATTTGGAAAGTTTCCTCACGCATAGTGATATAAAAAACTTGTGGATTGGAATACTTGTATTGGAATATGAAGTTGGGACACTTGAAGCTTTAATCCCTAAGCATCCTGAGAGACGAATCGTTTACATCCAGCCTGCAACAAATCAACATACGGACTCAGGGCATATAGCCGTCAGGTCTATGATGGATAAGGGAAGGTGTACCGCGGTAGGTCCGCATTATCATACAAAGGGCCACACGGTAGCCCTCAACCACAAGTCACTCCAGCCCTATACGTCTTTCTTACCTCATTTTCTTATATGGCGGATTTGTAAAATGAGAACCTAAAATATCAGATAGATTTTTTTCTGATGGAAAGGCAATGGAACAAAAATATGGTTATAAAGAATAATCAAAATTGATCCGATCATCGAAAGTCTAATATTTAAAAAAAAACCAAAATGAGAGAAAGTCATTGCATGATCAATGCTAGATTATATTTCACGATTCAAAGATAGAGTATATTTCAAGATTAGCCTTTATTTATAAAAATAAATAACCACACATGTTTACTTAAATGTATCACATAATAGATAACAGAAGGTATGGAAAAGGGATGGATTTGTAACACCCTCTGGGGTGTATGCTTAGATTTGATCGGTGTGTCAAACGACAGAACGAACAAATGAGCAGGATATGTTCGAAAACCACATATACCATAAGTGCCAAGATAAAAAAAATTGGCACTACATTATTTTTTCACCAAAGTCTACATTTTATCAATCTTTGAGCCAAATCAAACGAGCCCTTCCTGAAATATTGGTATATCTAAAAAAAACGTTTTCGCGAGCGTAAGCGGAAGTGCTGGATGAAATTTGATAAAATAGATATGGGACCATCTCGGCACCAATCAGCATAATTCCTGAAAATTTCATGATTATTGGATGAACGGTACTAGGTGATATGCCCGTCACATCGATTTGACTACAGACAGACAGACATCGTAACAAATTTGATCCTTGATGTCTGAAACGTAAAAACGCGAGTGGAAATTTTCGATTCTGAGCAAAAAAAGTTTTTTAATCTCTCGCACGAACACAATGCTTCCCTACCTTCGGTAGTGAGGAATCAAAAAAACATATCTTAGAACAGCATTATTGAAAGCATACTAAGAAAATTTTAGATAAATAAAGCAGCCTCGTAACACTTGACATTTAAGGAAAAAGGTTTTTCCTTAATCGTTTTTCTGCCAGACAATTGTTGCCATATATTTATTTTTATTGACGATAGTCCATTTTAAAATATTACAACATTATAAATATTTCATTGAATAAGATTATTAAATTATTTCTATTTCATTAAATGTATAATTATAGCTGGATTATAAGAAATTTATATTAATTCATTTCAAACTTTTTTTACATGAAAGAAAAATGAATTTATAGACACCTTAAAAATCCAAAGTATTGAGCAGATGGAAATGCTAGACGAAATATTTTTCAAACATTAAAAGAAGTATAAAATACACAATTCGGCGTATAATATTCAACAAGATTAAATCACTTGACATTTAAAGAAAACATTATTGGCGTGACCGCATTCGAAATTCTATATTTCGAAATGGGAACTAGTTCCAATTTGTATTCACCAAGTAGTCCGTCGAATTCTGATACACACTGGTCTGATGTTGATGAGTTGGCAAAAGATCTCTTCTCCTAAACCAATGGATTTAGTAAGTTAAATAAATGCTTGGCAATCGCTGAGGTGAAATCATTCGAGATAGTGCTTATAACACGGGCTAGACGATATTAGCGATTCAAAAATATGATTGGTGACCTTTGGCGATATCTGATCATATATAATGGCCCCCGCCGCTATGGTTAAGGCGACTGCTTCCAAAGGAGGGTGGACTTCGGATCCTAATCTCGGATGATAGTGATCGAGCTTTGGCTACTTGATCAGCTCCGCCCCAATGAGGTGACTAATGGTAACAGGTTACGCCACAATACGCAACTAGGTGAAACCTCACTCTACAATCAGCTCCATAGTTCATATTTAATTGACTCGGTTATATTATATACAATTCTTGCCCCTGTTTGTGTCCACATTGCCATGCTTCGGTTTGAACTTATGGGTTTCTGTTTATGTACAACGCAAATAGTCTTGCTGTGATTTGTTGCCGAGGAGGAAATGATACCTATTATAAGTCTATCACTTGAACCAGTTGTGGAAACTACAAGTTCCCAAGCGCGCAGCCCCATAAGGAATGAACCAGAAGATAGCCACCTGCCGAAGACGTAGCCTACTCCTTGCAATTAGAAATAATCTCAACCGCAAAAACAGCTGCGAGTTCTGACCCCAGCTACATTAACAACGATCCGATAAACATTTCATTGTCATGACCTAACATGGTGGTATCCGCTTCTAGTTTTAGCAACAGGTCTCGCCCAGCACCCCATCTATTCTAGATTTCATATATTCTAGAAACCTCACACCTCATCACCAGAAAACCTTACACCGGAAGAACCTATGTTACAAAAAACACTAATGTATTGAAAAATAAACTTTTATTTTTATATTCGGTGTTGCTTTCAGCTTCTTGATAATTAGTATTATTCAATAAATAGATAAAAAAGGAAGGAGATCGTTCGGGGTGGCGGTCATAGCTAGGCTAAATAGTGGTAAAACTATTTTATTAAAAGCCAACGATTCGACCCGACTTTGCAGGTCTTCCTCAAGGCTAGAACGGACAAGATACAAAAATATATTGAATAAACAGTTTTGCCTCTATATAGCCTATTTATGCCTATATCTTCTTGTATCTTGTTCGTTCTAGCCCTAAAGAAGACCTACAAAGTCGGGTCGAAATGTTGGCTTTTAATAAAATAGTTTTGCCACTATTTAGCACATTTATACTATATATTTTTATATCTTGTCCGGTCTAGCCATGAAGAAGACGTGCAAAGTTGGGTCGAAACGTTGGCTTTTAATAAAACAGTTTTGCCACGATTCAGCCTATTTATGACCGCCACCCCGGACCATCTCCTTCCTTTATAATGCATCGGTCAACTATTAAATATTCAATAGATAAAAAAGTTTCACGAGATTAAGAATCGGTGTGATGCCAAACTTGCCATACTGGTAATTTATCTCTAGATTCAGGTTGATTCGGCTTCCGATATACCACCTTAAAAAGCAGTAATTAATAGACCGATGGCAATCAATATTATTAAGGATATTAAGCTCAGTAATTTTCTGCATCGTTTCTATAAACCTAATATCATTATCACCATTTAAATTCTACAATAAGTATCAGCAGTTCGATTTATTCCCCTCTTAAGAAAGTGAAATTATGCAGAATCCATAACTCCTAACTTATAAAGATATTTATATCGTTTTAAAGCTTCCGTTACCATACACATTGCGTATTGCATATTTCCCAATATGCTGCTTCCACCTAATATTAATTGTTTGTTCTTTTGGTTTTTTGCGATGTTTGCTCTTATTGTTTAAACATAATTATATAGGAACGAAATGAAGTCTAAGGGACCCCGTATTGCAATTGATGAGAAATATAATAGATGCTAGATCTGTTTAGATAGAACAAGATTTCAGATTTAGGATTAGAGATCTGAGGTCAGCAGTCAAAATTATTATCAAAACAAAACATTGAAATTAGTGTTTTTATTATAAGCCGTCGTTTAGGGCTAAAAATGTGCGTTTTCCTATTGGCTAAAATATATTATAAATATATAGAGCAGAGGGCTGTAGCAAAAAAATACTAACAAAAAAACTCTAAACAAATGTTAAAAAAAAATAATACAATAAGAAACAATTGATAGAGGAATTGAGCCGATGATTTCCAGAAGAAAGCAAAAGAGAAATGGAAGATAGAGTAGTATTCTTGCTCATCTCAGAATGAGAGTAATGGTGGCCTACCATAGAGCTTTCTCCAAGTAATTCCTGGTACCTGGAAAAAAGAACTAATCATTGTCAAGGTTAATTGTAGATTAAATGGAAACTGTCCTTACCACGTACTAACTAAGGAAACGACTGGTGTGCCTTGAAGTATAAGGTAAAATTAGTAGTTTATTCATTAGATAGAGTTTGCTTAGCCATAATCCATTAGTGACAAAATATGAGCTTATATTCACAATAAATTTACAGGAGGATTTCCTGTATCATTGTGAAAATTATTAAAATCACGTTGTATTCAGTCTTTTTTTATTCATTTAAATCCCAGAACTGATATTTTATGTGTTAAAAGGTATGTCTTTTCGGTGTTTATCTTGCAATTAAATTTAGAATTTATCCCTGTAGAACAAATCCGATACCAGCGGGACAAACGTCTCACTTGGAATCCTCATACAAGACTGAAACGACAAGAAACTGGTTGACGTTTCCGCTTACTCCAACACTTACTGGACAAACGCTCTAAACTTCCCATTAATTACAAACGTCTCATATACATGACTATAATAAGACCTATTTGGACTTAAGAAGATGAACAATGGCTCTCCACTAAACCATCAAATTCCTCTCGTATCCAATCTTTACAATCCAAAATCCTTCGTAAAATCTTCAATGCTCCTTACTTTGTCACAAATAAAATAATCCATAAAGACCTCAATGTTCCACATGTTTCCGATTTGGCCGAATCCAGATACCTATCCTTCCATAATAAACTTCATAACCATCCGAATCCTCTTGTTTCTAACCTTGATTCCTCTTCGATTCCTGATAACCCTCCGAGGCGTCTGAAAAGAAGATGGCCTCGTGATCTGCTCATGTAGACAATTATTAGCGTGCTACCAATGGGCAGTTTCTCAACAAGCGTGTTTCATGTAATTATATTCCTCTGTACACATTTACTTGATGTATTCATACTAATACAGTTGTAAATATCATAATAAAAGTTTTTTAAAAAAAAATTAGAATTATTCAGTTTTAAGGAAAGAATACTTTGAGTGATACTGTTTGAAGAAAAGAAGCATTGTGCCTTGAATGGTCAGGGTTCAGTAATTAATCATTGCATCATTAACATATGCCAACTTAGCCATGTTATCTTCATCGGAGAGGCACAACCTTGAATCTTTTGTAAGCTAGTACGACCTCTCATGCCAATTGTTAACATGAAAGGAAGGCTGGAGGGATAGAAATAACAATTGGCAGACGGACTGACAGATTGGCGGTACACTTGAAGCAGCCAGCGACACAGCCGAAGAAACCTGGCAGCGGACGTCAAGGCGAACTCTGATGGAGCCATGATCTGAGTGACGGAGGATATTAAGAGAGAAGCTGCCATATCATTCCCAGCTCTGGTTTACCAATCTTTTGAATATAGGTCGTTCTCATGAGTTATCAAAGTAGGAGAAATCGGCAGCCATGATTGAACCAAGTAAAATAACCAGTTGCACTAAAAATAGTTCGTTTATAAGAGAAAAAAAATGTACATATATATATCGAGGTGGGTTACTTTTCTCCTTAAGGGATTGCTTATTAGTTAATTAGTACACATGGATACATCGATATAGTTTAAATTGGACGGATGATTGCTTATGGTTTTGAAATGAGTTTCATTAATTATTATTGTAATAACTATGGAATAATGTATTTGATCGAACAGGTACTAACATTGTCTACAACTTTGTTATCTAAAGTAGTAAGATCGATATTAGAATCACGAATATATTTTTTATTCATATTTAATTCAATGAATATGTGTAATAAGAAACAGTTTACCATTAACACTAGCGGATCCAGGATTTAATTTTGGGGGAGCTTCAGCTCGAAAGATTTTTTTTTTCATGTATATATAACGAAAATTAATTTTTTTTTTTATTAACGAAATTTACCACTGTGATTATTAATAAATACAACAATTAAATATGAACAAGTAATGAAGAGAAACTACCCATTGGTAGCACTCCAATTATATTTCTATAAGGTCCCTAGGCCATCTTCTTTTCAAACGCCTCGGAGGGTTATCAGGAATAGAAGAAGAAGCAAGGTTGGAAACGAGAGGGTTCGGATGGTTCAGAAGTTTATTATGAAAGGACAGGTATCTGGATTGAGCTAAATCGGAAACATATGGCACATTAAGGTCATTATGGATGATTTTATTTGTGACAAAGTAGGGAGCATTAAGGATTTTGGATTGTAGGGATTGGCTACGAGAGGAATTTGATGATTTAGTAGAGCCCCAAAGCTCGAGAAAACTAATTTGAAAAAGAAAGGAAGAAATTAACTACCTATATGAAATATTGTTTAAGTAGTTCTTGAAGTCCTATTCAACGTAATTACAGGAACAAGGATACTTTAAGAGATAGTTTTTGATATTGTTTTCTGTAAAACATGGTTATATTTTATCATTTGGTGGGAGGCTTCAGCCCGAAAGCCCTCTCTCTCTCTCTTCCCCATAGATCCGCCTGTGACCATTTACATGTTACCATCTTTTCAATTCTTTTCTAATGTTTCAATCTTTTCGTCTAAAATTAAAATCAAAGGTTCCATAGAGGAACACTCAACCTCTTCTTCCATATGTAAATCATAAATCTGCTTCTATTTTGATAAACTGCGACTCACACGTAGGTTAAGTACATTTCTTACATGTTCTTGGTTCAAGATGGGTCTCTCCCATGCTAATCCTACCCAGTTTTCCCGTCACTTGAATTAGCATCATTTGCTGCAGATTTGGCTCGAAATAAATATATCTCTTTTAATAATGAATCCTTGTCCAACCAAAGCACTTTTTACTTTTTATTCTAATCATTCAGGATAACGAGGTGAACTCCATTTCCACCTGTTCAGTAGCGCATTTAACAAATACAATGTAACTAATAAGTTTCTTTGAATTTGCTTGATAGAGACTATAATTTAGTTACTGTTGGAGGAGCAGGTCTCTTCGCCATTTTCTTTTTATTCTTCTTTGAGCAGGTAACAGAGAGAAGGAAATTGAAATAAATAGTTGTAATAGTGGACCGAGCTGTTTTTTAGTTGAAGTGTGAAATGTAGTGAATTTGTCGTGAATGTAGGATTTTACTGATGAAATATTTAAATCGTTATGCATAGTTTTATTTCTGTGCCTCGAATATTAAGTACACCATGCCACATTTTTGTATTTTGTATATTGAGCTAATTTTCCATGAATTAAACCTATTAAAATTTATTTCTTAGTTAATAAAGCTGCACTCCAGAGGAAATGGACGCCATGCCACATTTTTAATTTTTGTTTAGGAAGCCAATTTTCCATAACTTTAAGAAATTAAAATTTATTTCTTAGTTACTAAATTATTTAATGAAAAAAAAATGGACAAGGTGTTCTTTACATGCGGGGCACATATTTGAAATTTATCATGGTGCTTTAACAATTTTTCGTGCATTTTTTTATTTTTTTGTCTATACTTTTTGTTTTTGTGTTTCTTATACAGAACCCCGTATGTCCAAATTGGTCTAAGAGTGATGTAGATTAGTCGCTTATTACGTAAGTTATGTGAGTTCTGTAGTTCAAAAGATGTGAGAGTTGTTTATATCGTTTAGGCACAGTACATACTTTTTGTCAATTGTTATAGGTGGACATGATACTTTTCTTAAAGAGTTTACGCGTTTGATTAAAGAGTTTGATTTGGGACAATTAATTTTAATATTCCATTTATAAAACCACTTTTTCATGTCAAATAAATGGCTCTGAAGTGCGATAGTTGCTAAAAGCGGATTGCTGTGGAAAGATAACATTGGGAATTTAATAATAAATTTTCAATAAAAAAAAGGATGTTTACGCCAATTCATTGAAAAATATATTTGAATTTTTTTTTTTTTTTATTTCTTTATGACATTTACAACTGTATTACATAAATACATCAAGTAAATTTGGACATAATTGATATAATGACATGAATACACTTGCTGAGTAACTACCCAATGGTAGCACTCTAATGATATGACTACATTAGGAGATCACGGGGCCATCTTCTTTTCAGACGCCTCGGAGGGTTATCAGGAATTGAAGAGGAAGCAAGGTTAGAAACGAGAGGGATGATTCTGAAGTTTATTATGGAAGGATAGGTATCTGGATTGGGCCAGTTCTGAAACATAAGGAACATTAAGATCTTTATGGATAATTTTATTAGTGACAAAGTAAGGAGCATTGAGGATTTTACGAAGGATTTTGGATTGTAAGGATTGGATGCGAGAGGAATTCGATGGTTTAGTGGAGCGCCATAGCTCAACTCCGTAAGTCCAAATAGGTCTTATTATAGTCAAGTATATAAGTCTTTTGTAATTAATGGGAAGTTTAGAGCGTTTGTCTAGTAAGTGCTGAAGTAATCGGAAACGTCGAGCGGTTTCTTGTCGTTTCAGTCTAGTATGAGGATTCCAAGTTAGTCGTTTGTCCAGGTGGAGTCCTAGGTATCGGATTTGCTCAACAGGGATAAGTGGAGTATTGTTAAAGGAAACTGTAGGACAGGAAGTCGTTGGTTTACGACGAAGGGTAAAGGTAATTTGGTGGGATTTATTGGAGTTTATTTTAATTCCCCAGTTTTGACACCATTCTTCTAGATTTATGATGTGTGATTGAAGCATTAGGGATGCAATTGCTGGTTCATTGTTTACTGATAGGATACATGTGTCATCGGCATATGTGGTGATGACAGATATTTGAAATTTAAAATAAAAAACATACAATAAGCCTATATAACCTATAATACAATTTGTTTAATAACAACACCTTAACCGATGACAAGATTATGTATCATTCGCCAAGAATGGAATTGGTCACACAAAGGGAACAGAAATAAGTTTGGTGAGGTAGAACTCATGGGATTGTGTCATCTCATTGAATATGTAAAATAACAAAATTGGTCCTTAGAAATTACCTAGAGCTATAATTCTGGTAGCTTCTCCGAAATTACGTCAACAGTTTCGGGTCTAGGTAAAGAAAATTTAAAATTAGATATTAATACTTCAGTTGGAGTTTCGATATCAAATATGTCCCAGTTTCTTATGATGTGAGAAAAATTGCATTCTTGAAATAATAGCAGACTAAGCCAGAGCTATTATTTTAACGGTATCCAATTTATAGTGACATATAAGGTATACCCGTTCCAAGCAGTGATCTTGGGAAGAATATAAATCAACTAGTTTGCTTTATTTGTTTTTGTTTTTCACTAACGTAGTTTAGTTGCATCAGTAAGCCATTCCACAGCAATCCAAAATTTCAGAATAACAATTTCGTAATGACAGCAGTTTCGATGATAACTCTGGACAAATTTAAGATAGGTCATATTTTAGAACTGTATTTGGTCTTGTGATTTGCACGGCACATAGCAATAAATTAGCTTAAAAAAAATAATAAATGGTTCTAAATTACTAGGTAATGACCCACCTCATCAAAGATATTTAAATGTAAAATATGTTGTATACCTTATACTTGTTTTGGAATTTATAATGTATTTTATTATTATTTTCATCAATTACTGATGGGTGTTTAGAATTTTTAGTTAATATCATATTCATTCTAGTCCAAGAACTATCTCTACTTTAAATGAAAAAAATATATTTATTCACAATTATTAGTCATTAAAAATGCGCGTTTGTAAATTATTTTATGCAATAAAATAATTGTAATTAGTTTATCCGACTATTTTAAAGGTATTTTCAAATTAACGGTTTCCCCCAAAAAACAGCAATCTCATTTCGACTGAAGGAAGGAGATGGTCCGGGGTGGCGCTCATAAATAGACTAAATAGTGGCAAAACTATTTTATTAAAATGCAACGTTTCGACCCGACTTTGCAGGTCTTCTTCAGGGCTAGAATGGACAAGTTACAAAAAGATATTGAGAATCGGGTGGTAATTAATTGGGTGGTAATTATATTCCGAATAACTCAAAAAGTATACACTTTTAAAAGTTATGGATAGATAGATATTGTATACGGTTATTTAAAATTTATGAAATCTCCTTTAAAAAAAAAGTCGTTAAAATTAGACAATTTGGACCAAAGATGTGGTCTCTAGATATTTTTTACATGTTCTACTGCAAATTTTATATCCTTTGTTTTTTTTTTTTTTTTTTTTTTTTTGTTTTATTGAAAGTGTCACTGAAGTACTGATATTTTTTTAGCAAATTACTAATGATGATAAAAAAAAAAAAATTGTTCAGGCCAATAATAGGAATCACCTTTTATTTCTTTTTCTTTGTTACTAGGAAGGTAATGTTACTTTAGTTGCATAATTGAAAATAATGAACCATTGTGAAATAATCTGCAGCGGTTTTTTTTCTATTGTAACTCCAATATAAATTTAAAAT